AAAATAAGTCTGACAGATCAAACTCCATCTTTGGGAGAGGTCCATTGATGAACTTGGCTTTAGAAGCAACATCTGGACACCAGTGATTCTGGAGAGTCTAATGAAAAGAAACTATATGTGATGAACCTTCCACAGATATGACTTTCTTATCTATAACTTCTTACGAATACTGTCTCAATCTATTGATATTTTTCTAGGCTTCACAAATGGAGAATATGAACAAAAAAAAAAGACTGATAATATAAAATGAAGTAAATACCAGTGATTTTCAGTTTAACATAATGTGAACTGTTTGTGATTTAATAACCAAACAAAAGTTAACTTTTTACCTTCACTTCCCACAAGGAACTCTCGATTGCTCTGCACTTTGTAAGATCACGCTCTTCCATGATGTATGGATCTGATGTAACATCTGCAAGTTGACGAAAACCAAGAAAGTTTTAAATAAAGTTGATGACAGAAACTTTTACAGTAAGTTCATTCAAGAAACTTGACCAACAATGAAACTACCGAAACAGTAGTTAATGCTATGCATTTTTTTAATCTATGTACTGATTACACAGGCCTGCGATGGTTTTATTGTCTTGAAATTTTTACATGTTCTACAGTAATTCCTGTACGCTGAATCCGAAAATGATATCCATGTTTCTCCATCCCATACAGATTTCTCTCAAAATGTCATAACGCAATACATAAAATAAAGACCGCAACACGTAGTTTTTTACATTAAAGGATGTAGATTTCACAAAAAAATCAAGATGAATGAGAATGCATGTTCATTTGACATCAATGTTCTTCCCTTTTCTTCAGTTTGTTTGTATTTTTTATTAACAAACAAGTTGGTTCAGTTACTTTAGAACCTAACTGACAAGACGAATTATTCTTCTCTACTCTGTTGTTACAATACAAAGCTGTGATACTCACTTTAAAATCACCACTATAACTGTTGGTTACCACAGTTGTATCTAGAGCTTTAAATAATTGTTTCCTTCTCATCAAAGTCTACACAGGCAGGTTCAATTATTTTAGGTCACTCTTTGACAAGATAAATTATTCTCCTCCATCTCTGTTATTACAATACAAGCTGTGAAACTCACTTTGGAAATTGCCATTATGCAATCTAATTTCACTTTCACTTACATAACTAACTTGGTCACCTATATAAATACATATTGCCAGACTGAAGCCTAAAACTTTCTAGAAACTACTAGACATTACGATGTAACATGACATCAATTCACAACAAATGATTCGTAAATGTATACGTAAGTAAACTTGCCATAACTATCACTTCTAAAAATAACTGATTTTAAAGCTCACACTATAACATTCGTGTACCTTCACTAAATTTTGCAAGCTTTTATTAATCATTAAGTCATTTGTAAACAAAAAATCTGACTTTTTAAGAAAGAATTTTCAATAAAAATTTCTCCATGAATATATATGGAGTCGAAGTGTTGACTGCTCTGAGTACAAAGTGATTTTTCAAGTTAACATTAAAAAATACTTTTCTTCATCTGAAAAAATCTCAAATTCCATTTCTGTCATTTCTAAAAACATTCTAAATAAATTGCTAATATTTCTTTATCAGTCACACTTTATATTTTATTTGTTATTTTCTCTACTCTAACTCTATTCAAGGTTGGTCAATTTGACCACCAAAAAAAAATCTAAGTCACCCCCCCTTTTTTTTTTCAAGAATGACTTCATATTGTAACATGAAACTACATTTGTTTAGCCTAAAGAGCTTAAATCTAGTAACAGTATATATCTGTTTCTATTTAAATTTTGTTTTATTGCTCTTTAAGCAGTGGCTAACAAACATTACCATAACCCATAGTTAAATCACTAGGCAAATGTGTAGCTTTAATTGTCATATCGCCCCCCTGTGGCGCAGCGGTATGTCTGCGGACTTTCAACGCTAGAAACCGGGTTTCGATACCCGTGGTGGGCAGAGCACAGATAGCCCTTGTGTAGCTTTGTGCATAATTAAAAAAAAACAAACAAACAAACAATAATTGTCCTATTAAATTACATAACGCCTGGCCTATTAGCAAGCATACCTCATGAAAAATTATTTATTTTACCAAATCTAACATAAAAAGCTCTAATTTTTAAATGTTGTTGTCATCACTCAGGCAAAGCATAATTTTTATAGCCTTCAATCTTATTTAGTTACAGAGATATACCATAGAAATTCAGATCCCTCTTGTCACGCCCACCCATCACATCCTCTCTTTCATAAATTGCCAATAGTTCTCTCTATTGTTAAATTATAACCAATAGAAAGTCAGAGTTTTAATCTATCAAATGATGTATTACATTACATTGTTTGCTGTACAAAGAATTGTCTATTTTGCTTCCAATTTAAACTTTATTCCCACAAAAAAAAACACATTGACGAACTTAACTGAATTGTTAAAGGCTGTCACATAGAAAACCAGAAAAATTGTGATAGTTATAGAACATTATTTGCTTTTTGCATTAATATTCTGTGTTCTTTAGTGCATTACTTAATAAAAAATTATATTGTGCATTAGTATAAAAAAGTAGGATTAAGTTTCATCGACAGTTGACAGCAAAAAACAAAAGAAGACCCAGGTAAGTATTATATTTCTTGTTTTTCATGTGTATTTTTTATTTGATATTATAAAAGTAACTATTATAATGAGTAATTTACAATAAATTTCGTACTTCTCAGAGGGGTGGTAAATAAATTAGAGAAGAGAAGATACCTAGAAAAAAAATGCCACAATGTTTAAATAAATTTGGAATGTAACTCAGTAAAACCTTGTAGCACGTGCAGAAAAAGATGCATGAGGGTTAAATAGAATCTTGAGGTTAGGATGTCCTAATAATAAATTACTTAAATCTTCTTAACACACGAAACATTTTCTCTATTAAGAAGAATCTCGAGATAGGATGTCTTAATAATAAGTTACTTGAATATCCTCTTACCACATGAAATATTTTCTCTATTGAGCAGAATCTTGAGGTTAGGATGCCTCAGTAATAAATTTCCAATGAATGGGATGACCATTAAAAGGGCATGAGGTGGTGCGCTCAAGGCTAACCTTGCTAATCGTTTGATGAATGCTGCTACCAGGTAGGCAGGAAGATGTCTAGAGAAAGAAAACCAAAACATCAATGAATAACATCTATATTACAATTTTTCAGTGTGATACTAAATTTAAAGCACCACCTAATGTTAAGGGTTAGGACTATTACAAAAACACATATTTCTTATTGATAAGTATTTAACTTATTTCTCTAATGTTACAAAAAATCCTCCAAATTTAAGATCCCTTTACAGATTAATTAAAATCTGTAGTTTGAAACTGATAATGAAAGAAATATAATTTTAAAAATAAAAGCTTTAAAGTTAAGGGTCAATAAGATCATTCTAGTTTAATTCAGTTTACAGTTGTTTTGTGAAGATAAACATGGTAAGATCAGAATTACAGTAAAAATTATTATACATAGCTTTACAAAAACTGGGATTGGTGCAAATCACCAATGCTGTTCACATAAGGATAACACTATTCTATCTGTTAAGCCTAAAAGGCACCAGGTTATGCTATACAGTATATAACATATCATGAAGTCCAATAAACATCATATTAAGTGTAGTTTCTTACAGTCTTTTTGGGTTGTAGTAGACAAATGTTGAGAGAAAATTCTAATTAGATAATGATCTTTTAACAAATTTTTTTTTAAAATGGGAGGGAAAAAAACAGGTTTTATTTTCATTAATAGGCTAGAAACATAAAAACAAAGAAGTAGCTCAAAACTACTTGATGGAAATGGTAAGTCTTATGAAGTTGTTAGAGTACTGGAAAATAAAGATATATATGTTGAACAATTTAGCTTTTGTATCGATAATAAAGTTCAGGTTCTATATTTTTCCATTTTCACTTATGGTTAATTGAGGTATTATACATACCATTAACCCTTTCGAGGCGGGTCACGGGTGAAAGGCTACGTCATCTCGTTTGTTGACTCGTATTCAAAATTTTATTGAACTACTATTTCATGAATTTGTGTCAATAAGTTTGGTATCAAACTGTAGATTATAATTCAAATTTTAGTTTTATACCTTACTCAATTTCTTCATTTAAAAGTAAATATAAAAAAAACATAGATAAACATTGACTTTTTGTGTGTCACATGATATGTTGAATGCAGCACTGGCTCAAATTAGATGTTTTTGAAGTCAAAATACTAAGTCTATAGTTTTGTATGAATTAGAAACTCAAATTACTGATATTGACAAGCTAGAATATAAAGTAAAAAGCTCTTATCTTTTCTATTTTCTAAGATATTGCTCATGTAATATATCAAACACAGTGGCACCCCACCCACCTATTTCCAATTTTGGAAATGCTCCTTTATATACACTTACTTCTATATATGATATGAATAACAAATCAAAAGCTCAGAATGTCCCCCTAGTGGCTTTCTCAGCCATTTTAAATTCTTAGAACGCCATTTCTTTCTTTTGAACCAAGATTTCAAGGAGGTAGGGCGTGTCTTTAGTCTGCTTGAAATTCCATATTTTTTTAGACTAAAATACATCTTAGTTACTAAGCTTGATAAACTATAGTGGAATTCTATCGTATTTATATAGCTGTCTTAGCTGAATATGGCTCCTATCCTGCCAAAATATATATTTGTGTCCTCTAGTATTACCATTCTCACCAATAAATGTGAAAAAAAAAGATGATGTATAAACACTAATAATGGCTGGAGACGGCTGGAATGGGTAATGAAGAAAAACTTTAATATAAGTTTAAACTGATGGTGGTACCTGATGATGACAAAACCTTGTCGAAACGTTGTACAT